AGGCGTTGCCGTCGATTTCTTCCGTCGAGTCCAGCCGGAGGGTGGCGTTGAGCCAGCCCAACAGGGCCTCGCCCTCGGCGTAAACCTGGTAGTCCACCTCCATGGTGGGACCGGAAGGGATCGATCTGGTCTCGATATATTTGAACCAGTCTTCGAGACCATCCCCTTCTTGGGCCGATACCTCGAAGATTTCCTTTTCAGGCCACCGTCGGCTCAGCTCTTCACGCAATTTGGCGCGGCGCTCGGCGTCGATCAAATCGATCTTGTTGATCGCCAGCACGTGGGCTTCTTCCAGCTGTTTCAAATAGACGTAGCTGACCTTCGGCGAGAACTTGCGCCCCTCTTCGAGCCCCAGGATGCGAGAAGCGCGGACGGGATCCATCAGCACGGTCAACGGTGCGACGTCGAATTGATCGCCGTAGAGCCGTCGCAGGGGATAGCTGACCGTGGCCACCAAATCCGTGCAGCTACCCACGGGCTCAGCCAGGAAGATATCGGGGCGTTCGGTGGCGGTGAGCTTTTCGGCGGCATCGCGCAAGGAGTCGAAACGACAGCAGAAGCAGCCACCGGCGATCTCTTCAACCGAGAATCCCAGATGACGCAGCTTCTGGGTGTCCACCAACCCACGCCCTTGGTCGTTGGTGATCAGGCCGACCTTCAGCCCTTGGTCGTGCAGACGCCTAGCCAATCGGCCCACGGCGGTAGATTTGCCGGCCCCCAGGAAGCCGCCGATCATGACGTAACGTGCGCGGTTCGAGGGCGTATCAGTCGAGGTCACAGGCGGTGCTCCTAAGATCGCCAGGGTTGTTCTTCCATGGCATCGATGGTTTCTCCGAGTTGTTCCAAATAGGCCTCGACACCCACGGTATCGGGATCCGGCTCGCCGCGGACGGCATAGAGCCAGCCTTCACCGTAGGGATCTTTGCAGACCTTTTCGATGTCTTCTAAGGCTAGGGGGTTGAGGCCGAGCAGCTCACCGGAGGCGACGCAGAAGAGATCGGTCACGGCCTTCATGCCTTCGATCCATCCGATCACGGTACCGGTTTCC